TTCAGCTTTGCACCCTTCCGTGTCGATCTCAGAATTTAGCTCTCAGAGATGTCCCACAGCAGCCATTGCTCCAGGGGCCTCTCAAGCCAACAGTCACAGAAGACCTGGGGTAAACTGACTGTTCAAATGGTCCTCCTGCTCAGAGCGGGTAACCTGCAGCCATTCACTTTTACTTGAGCTAAACAGAATTCTGAGACACACACACACACACACTCTCACACACACATACACACTCACACACACTCAAACACACACAGACACACACACACACACACACACACACACAGCCTGCTTATCTTACCAAAAAGAAAATGAATTTTCTCTGCCTTTCAGCCAGTATGAGAAGTTGATCAAAGAACACCCTAATGTCCGTTTTTAAATCGCTCCGCTCTAGGCTAAGGTAGTTCTGCATTCACGGTACTTTAAACTTTTTTTCAAAGCACTTTCACCTAGTTTTGAATGTCTCTTACGAAAGTCTCCAAACTTAGCAGACACTATCGTGAAAGGGACCAAACCCTACACTCACATTTTTCAGATGAGGAAATAGAAGTCCAGAAAGGGGATGCAATTGCTCCAAGGTGAGAAGCCAGTGGCTGGTGCTGAATGAAATTCAGGTCTCTGAGTATACTGTGACATCAGAGCTTCTTGACCCTCTCCACATTAGCGCCCCTAACAAGGAACCCAAGGCGGAAGGAATGTGTTTTTTAAACACTTTCATTAAGCTACAATTCATATAGCGTACAGTTCACTCATTTAAAGTGTAGCTTAGTGGCTTTCAGTCCTAGAGTTGTGTGTTCATCACCGCAATCAATTGTAGAACATTTTCATTACACCAGAAAGAAACTACATGCCTTTTAGCATCTCCCAGACACCCACTCTTTCCAGCCCTAAGCAACCACTAATCTACTTTCTGCGTCTATGGCTTTGCCTGTTTTGGGCATTTCATATACGTGGAATCATACTATATATGGTCTCGTGTGACTGATTTATTTCCCTTAGCATAGTGTTTTAGAGATTCACTATGTAGTAGCATGTATCATAACTTTATTACTTTTCATGGCTGAATAATATTCCATTGTATGGGTATACCACATTTATTTATTAGTTGATGGACATTTGAGCAGTTTACATTTCTTGGCTATGATGCAAAATGCCACTGTAAATATTTGTATACACGTTTCTGTGTGAACATATGCTTTTGGTCCTCTTGGATATATAGATATAATACTGTAGAATCATATATATATATATATATATATATATATATATATAATTGCTGGATCACATAGTAACTCTATGTTCAACAATTTGAGGAGACAGTAGACTGGTTACAAATGGGCTTCACCAGTTTACATTCCCATCAGCATTGTACAAGCTTTCTAATTTCTCCACATCCTCACCAACATATAACATTATCTCTCTTTTTTTAATTCTCTCTTTTATAGTGAGAATATTAAGAATATAGTATATTATAGTGGATGTGAAGTTGTATCTGATTTTGGCTTTGAATTGCATTTCCTTGATAGCTAATGATGTTGAGTACCTTTTCATGTGCTTTGGATATTTGCATATCTTCTTTGGAAAACCATCTATTCAGATCCTTTGCATATATTTTAATTGGACTATTTGTCTTTGTATTATTGAGTTGTAATAGTCCTTTATGTAGTCTAGTACTGTGATACGTCATTTGATATATGATTGGTAAAAATTTTCTCTCGTTCTATACGTTGCCTTTTTACTTTCTTAATGGTGTTCTATGAAGCACAAAACATTTTTATTTTAATGAAGTCAAGTTTGTATTTTTCTTTGTTGTTCTTGTGCTTTTGATGTCATATCTAAGAAAACATTGCCTAACCCAAGGTCACAAAGATTTATGCCAATGTTTTGTTGTAGGAATTTTATGGCTTTTGCTCTTACATGTAGGTCTTTGATCCATTTTGAGTTAATTTTTGTAGATGGTGTAAAGTAGGTGTCCAAATTCATTCTTTTGCCTGTGGCTATCCAGTTGTCCCAGCATCATTTTTTAATTCCTTCAATGAAATGGTCTTTGCACTCTTGCTGAAAATCATTTGACTAAACGTTAGGGTTTGTTTCTGAACTATTTATTCTATTTCATTGATCTATATGTCTGCCTTTATGTTAATACTTTGCTGTCTTGATTATGGTAGCTTTCTAGCTTTGAAATTGTGAAATGTCAATCCTCCAACTTTGTTCTTCTCTTTCAATATTGTTTCATTATTCTGAGTCAATTGACTTTTGCTATGAATGTTAGGATGTGCTGCTCAGTTTCTGCAAAGAAGTTAGCTAGGATTTTGGTAGAGATTGCATTGAATCTGCGGATCAGTTTGGGAAGAATTGCCTCTTAACAATATTAAGTCTGCCAATTCATGAATATGGAATGTCTTTTCATTTCTTTAGGTCTTTTTAACTTAACAGTGTAGTTTTCAGAGTATGTATTTTGCACTTTTTTGGTTTCGTTCCTAAGGACTTAATTCTTTTTGATGCTATTGTCAATGGAATTGTTTTCCTTAATTTCATTTTTGATTTGCTCACTTCTGCTATATAGAAATACAATTGGTTTTGCATATTGGTCTTGTATCCTGCAAGCTTACTGAACTTATTTGTTGGTTCTAATAATTTTTAACAGATTCCTTAGGATTTTCTCCATAGAAAATTACATCAGCTACAAGATGGTTTTACTTCTTTACTTTTCAATCTGAATGCTTTTTATTTTTTTCTTGCCTAATTCTCCTGGATAGAACTTACAATGTTGAATAAAAGTAGTGAATGCAGATGTTCTTATCTTTTCCTGATACTCAGGTGAAAGTATTCGATCTTTCACCACTAAACACCATGTTAGTTGTCAGGTTTTTTGTAGATAACCTTTATTAGGTTGAGGAAGTTCCCTTTTATTCCGTTTTGTTTTGGCTTTTAGGGTTCTGTTTTTATCATGAAGCAATGTTATTTTTTGTCAAATATCTTCATCCTGTATTGGATGATCATATGGTGTTTGTTTTTTATGCTATCAATATAGGAGTAACACATTAACTGATGTCCAAATGTTAAACCAATTTTGCATCCCTGGGTTAAATCCCACCTGATCGTGGTGTATAATTTCTGTACTGCTGGATTTTATTTGCTAGTATTTTGTCAAGAATCTTTGTGGTTCTATGTATGAGAGATTTGGGTCTGTATTTTTTTGGAGGAGAGTGTCTGGTTTTAGTGTCAGGATAATATTAACCTCATAAATAAGTTAAGAAATTATCACTCTGCTTCCATTTTTTGGAAGAATTATTGATAAATTGTTAATAATCTTTAAATGTTTGGTAGGTTCACCAGTGAATCCTACCTGGTGAATCTATCTGGTCCTAGGCTTCTCTCTGTGGGAAGTTTTAAATTACTAATTCAATCTCTGTATTTGTTACATGTTTCTTAAAATTGTCTATTTATTCTTGAGTCAATTTGGGCATTTTGTGTCTTTCTAAGAATTTTTTTTAATTTTATCTAAGTTATTTAATTTATTGCCAAGCACCTGTTCATAACATTCCCTTATGATCCTTTTTGGTTCTTTTTTTTTAATTTTGTAATATATTTTATTAAACAAAAATGTTCAAATTCTTAACATGGAAAAAAATTTTTGAGATCACCATACAAATCACAAACTGGAGAAAATACTGAATCAAATATCAATAAAGTGTTAATAATCTTTCAAAGGACCCACAAAATCACTGAGAAAAATACTAAGGCCTAGAGATAACAATCAATCATTGCCTATTACTTGCCAAATACAATAGATAAGTCGTGTTTTGTTTTGTTTTGTTGGTACAGCATATATATATATATATATATCCTAAGTTCTGGGGTACACGTGCAGGCCTTGCAGGATTGCTATATACGTATACACATGCCATGGTGGTCTGCTGCTTCCATCCCCCACATCACCCACATTAGGCACTTCTCGGAGAAGTGCCTTTTTATTTCTTTAAGTTCACTAGTAACATGAGGACACGGTTTTAATTGCCTACTTCGAGAGCACAATGTATTTAAAGTCTCATATTTTTTGTTTAAAAAGTCATAGAATATATCTATTTGAATACAAAAATACTATTTAACATTAAGCAAAATTGAAGTGCCAGGGAGAGTTCCCACCTTTACCTTGTTTGACCACCCCATCCTCCAGCAAGGCTTGGGTCCCCCTATGTGAGATGCATCATGACAGGATAGATTCTCTTCAATCCGGTTTCCTAGCTCTTTCCAGGACAGCTTATCTGTCCCTAACTCTGCTAAGATCCTGAGTTGAATTACCAGGGCTCCACAGTAGACTCATAAACTGGAGAAACAGGACCGAAGAGCTAACAGGTTTTATTGTGTAGATTGATGAACTTACAAAACATTTATCTGCTCTCATAAGAGGCGGGGAAGGACTATGCTGTTAGTGGGTGTATATGTGTGTGGAGTGTATCTGTGTCCTATGATGGAGGTGGCAGTGCAGGAACACCTGTACCTGTCATTTCCTTTCATCTTTGGAATAACAACAGCAAAAACTAAGGGATCCAAGTGAAGTATTTTCCTTTGAATAAACACCAGAAAGGAACATTTCTAAAGAGCTACGTTTCAGATTATTGACTTTAATGCAGGTCTTGTTTCTTTCAACTTTAGCAAATGAGGACATAGCCAATATTCACATATTCCCTGTAGGAAAAAAAAAAAAAAAAGCAAAGAAAAGAAAAACCCAACATTGAATTGGGTTCTAAAACAACCCAGATTGTTTTAGAATAATCTGGTTAACTTTAGCCTGAACGGTTAAGTGGCATTCACATAAACCTGATATAGAAGTGATATTTAATGGATATATTAGCTGTAACATTTCCTTCAAATCCTTAAAATTAAATATTCAAATTAATCGCTCAACTTCAGTTCCTAGTAAAGATATTCATAATTAATGTGTTAAATTCATCATAATGAAAATATATTCAATTTGCTCTCTTTATTTTTCTTAGAAAAACTGTTCTTGAAAACCACCTGCTATTTAATCATTGACAAGTTTGGATCAGACATCATAAAACTGTGAGTATGCCGTGGCACATAACTCTGATTCCATTGCTGGGGCATGGGAGGAACAAGAAAACTGGGAGGCAGGAGGCTCTGTGTTCAGCCTGCTGCGCTGCTGGACAGGGCTTGAGCTGTTATTCCAGCTTCTGGTAATAGTGGACAACTGGAACCTGATTTGGATCCTTCGTCACTCTACGCAAAGGCTCCCCTTGAATTACGGTATGGCAACCTAGCTCGACTTCTCTCCAAGAGCCTTTCAGATGGAATTCCACAAACAATTCCAGTAACAAAAGGGCCCTATCCCATTGGCTGAACTTGGGCGATTGACCCTTTCTCCTGAGCTCTCCGCCTCCCTGGATTTCCAGGCCACCTCCTCTCTCCCCACTTAGCTGGTTTCCTGGCTTCTCTCCACCTCCCCACTCCTGGCTCTTGCTCCTCGCATCATCACGGTCTGCTTTTTCTTTTGCTGTTGTTCTTTTTTTTGAGCTCAGGGCACTGACTCAAGTAAGCCCCGTTCCTCAGTCCATGGCACTCTCTCATCAATGATCCATACACGTCTGTCTTACACTTATTATTTTTTTACTTAGTTGCCTTGAATTCCGAAATAAGCTCCAGAACCTGCCACCCAAAACATAGTCTAGGACCTTGACAATCACTTCTTCTGTCCCTATGGACCCTCCCCTTGGTTCTCAGGCTTTTCCCACCCCAGTGAGCATCATCCTAAATTCCATGTTCATTCTTCTCCTGCTTTCTATAAAAAATTGTAGAGGTTTTCCATAGTTTTATAATGTATTAAATATAAAAATATAAAGTATTTATTATCATCATATTATTATAAATGTTTTATAATTTATTATACATAAATGATATATGTTTGATTGCTTTCTGGTTTTATCTCTTGTAAACAGTGCTCCTAGAAACATTCTTCTTTTTTTTTTTTAACTTTAAGTTGTGAGATACATGTGCAGAACGTGCAGGTTTCTTACATAGGTATACATGTGCCACGGTGGTTTGCTGTACCTATCAACCCATCATCTAAGCCCCAAATGCATTAGGTATTTGTCCTAATGTTTTCCCTCACATTTCCCCCCAGCCCCCAACAGGCCCTGGTGTGTGATATTCCCTTCCCTGTGTCCATGTGTTCTCATTGTTCAACTCCCACTTATGAGTGAGAACATGTGATGTTTGGTTTTCTGTTCCTGTGTTAGTTTGCTGAGAATGATGGTTTCCAGCTTCATCCATGTCCCTGCAAAGGACATGAACTCATTCTTTTTTATGGCAGCATAGTATTCCCTGGTGTTTATGTGCCACATTTTCTTTATTCAAGCTATGATTGATGGGCATTTGAGTTGGTTCCTAGGAACATTCTTACATGATTCCTCCTCAAGGGGCCATTAGCCTTAGAGCAGAGATGTTCAAAGGACAGCCTCACCCTCTACAACACGGCATCCTAGTGTCACAAAATTTTAAATACAGAAGAAAGTTAAAATCATATAGGCAGGGAGATCATCAGTGATCTGTCATGCTATGCACCTGCCTGTCCTAATAGCAATCTCTCTCTTCTATGGCAAACAACTTTTCATAACCCCGGGGCTGTGTTTGGAAGGCAGCCTTTATTCTTAGCTAGTGGGATTATTATTGCCACTGCTCCCTAAGTGGACTCTAGGCATACAAACTTGCCCATTGCCATGCAATTTCATAAACTACATTATAGCTAGAGTAGTATATTTTAATGCAAACCTAACTATAGTACTCCCTTAATGTAAAATTTTTCAGTCTTCACATCCTCTGCAGGACTCCTAGCTCCACACACAAGGCTCATCAGTGACTGATTTCTGAGGGCTTTTCTAGACTCACCCCTTGCCACGCCATAACACACCACACTCCAAACCCCTTGTGGTCTCTCAACACAGCAGGAGGTTCCTGACTCAGGATCTTTGTATGAGATGGTCACTCAGCTTGGCACATCCAAAACCTCTACTCCCTACCTCTACCCCAAACAAATCTTATGGCCCCACTCCCACACACACAGGCAAACAGCACATATACATACGCACACACAAATGTGCACACACACAAACATGCACATATGCACACACACATGCATAGAAGTACATGCACGCTCTCACAGACATGAACATTTGTGAGCACACACATTCTCCTAATACCCTGTGCAAACCCTTAGCATAGCACTTACCTCATCTGTTTGTGACTGAATTATCTGTTTGCTTTTCTAAGTTGATAACTAGATGAAAAATCTTTTGAGGGATAGGACTACATTTTATTTATCTTTCTATCTATCTGCAGGAACTTAGCAAAATACTGACTATATGTTTATGAAAGTACAAAAGAAAGTAAGAAAAAGAGGTAAGAAGGGTTGGCAGAGGAAAGGAGAGAGCTTTGTATCTCCAGATCCAGGTACAATTCTTAAGCATAAAAAGTCTGCAATAAGTGTTTGTTGAATTAATGAATTTTTTTAAAAAGTATGAATACGGATGAGCCATGACTAGACTGTTCTGGAGAAAGCTATTTAAAAGTATAAGGACAGAAAGAAAAAATCCCTTTTAGTCCATTCGGTGAATCTATTTACACACCTAATAGGAGTCTAGATCGGGAAATCAGATCAGCAAGCTGAAGCCCCAGAACTCAAAGGGGCAGTACATGCAAGTGTCCAAAAGGGGGTGCCAGAGAGCAGCTCCCACGAGCAGGGTGATGGGAGTTCCAGAGAAGTGGCCTGGGGCTTCCTCTTCTGTACCTCGCTGTAGAGGGGTGAGTGTGAGAATCAGTGGAGCATAAGGATCAGAGAAAGGACAGACACAGTACGCATCACTGCAGCTGCACACTGTACAGCATGTGAACTGTACAAGAGATAAGCGGGCATGGGTGTAGAGAAGAAATGGGACCAGCAAGTCACCAAAAGAGGGACCCACTCCTGAACATGTGGGGATGGGAGGAATCACATTCTTCTTTATAATAAAGAAACTAATTGTCTCGAGCATGAGGTGGGCCACTTTGGAGAAAAAACGACAGATGTCTGATCCCCCCTTCGTGGTTCTCTCTACCATGTGTTTTGTCCATAATTTCCCGCTATGTTTATTTAGTTGTGAGCTGATAGAAATCTTTCCTCATTGGACATGTTCTTCAGCTTGTTTTAAGCCATCAGACACAGCTCGAGATTGATGTAGACCCTGAAAATGACAACCTCATGATTTAGTTTTACTTGAATATCAGTCTTTCAATATAAAATGTATTTTCTAACCCAAAGGGCATCTTTTCTCATTATTTCACACTACTCAGTTCTCAATAATTCATGGACTAATTATGCAGCAATTACATTTCCTTCCCATAGGCAGAGCCACAAGATGTTAAAGAAAAAGGGCACCCGAGAACTCAGGGGTACCCTAAGAACCTGAGTCATGCAGGGAGGAGCTACTTCATAGGGAAGCCCAATCCCAGCCAGTGATCACAGCTGGGTCCCGCTCTGTGTGGCCCAAACTGCCACTGCTCCGTTGCCGTAGCAAGCCTAACTCTCATCTCTGTCTGGCTGTGTTCCTTCCTGGTATCTATTTATGCTTCCCTCTAAATCGAAAATTCTTGTGTCCTAAGCCCAGGAGCTCTCAGAGATCAGTCCAGGCATAAACTACTAACAGTTTTATGGGGAAAAAAAAAAGCAAAACAGAACTGATAACAATTATGGTATACCTTAAATGTAATTAATGGCTTAAAGAGAGGCATTGAAAACACAGGGCAGAGCCACTGTGCTCTGTGGCTCATGCCTGTAATCTCAGCACTTTGGGGGTGCCGAGGCAGGTGGATCACTTGAGGTCATGAGTTCAAGACCAGGCTAACCAACATGGTGAAACCCCATTGTTACTAAAAATATAAAAATTAGCCAAGCGTGGTAGTGGGCACCTATAATCCCAGCTACTTGGGAGGCTGAGGCAGAAGAATCGCTTGAATCCCAGAGGTAGAGGTTGTAACGAGCCAAGATCATGCCTCTGCACTCCAGGCTGGGCAACAGAGTGAAACTCCACTTCAAAAAACAAAACAAAACAAAAAAAACAGGGCAATATAATTCTGTTATTCACAAGATAATTACAGGATTTATAGAAATGATTAAATTCACAGTACACTACAAAGGATGTAACCTAGAAACAGGATAAAAGTATTAAGTTATATGAAGATCTTTCAGTTCTGTTGGGGGATCTCTGTGACTACAATTTATATATAAAACCTCTTTTGAAAGTAATGTCAAATGTCTAAATATGAACACTTTCAAGTGAAAAAGTCTCTATTCCCCTATCCCTGCCATAGGCTCTGCTGCTCTGCCGTCTGCTCATCCTTGCTCTCCTCTTTAGATTTATGATGATAATAATGGTCATCATCATCAACTGTAAGTCTACCGTCATTCTAATTCAAACTATCAATTAGCAGGCTATGCCAAAGTGTTGAAGTCCTCCCCTTCCTGCATGCTGCACTCCTATGCACTTCTGTACCTTTAAAGAGAGTAAAAGGAAGTAAATTAAAATGTGATAGATTCAACATTACGAAGTTTGAAAGTCACCACTCTGTTCTGATAGCAGGTAAAAAGCTGAACAAACTGAAAAACCAACAACACTTCCTAGATCTTTAAGAGTAGTAAGCTCAGAGCTGGGCATGGTGGCTCGCACCTGCAATGCCAACACTTTAAGCCACCAAGGCGGGTGGATCTCTTGAGGCCAGGAGTTTAAGGCCACCCTAGCCAACACAGTGAAAACCCATCTCTACTAAAAATACAAAAATTAGCTGGAGATGGTGGTGCATTTCTGAAATCCCAGCTACTCTAGAAGCTGTGGCATGAGAATCTCTCGAACCCAGGAGGCAAAGCCTGGACAACAGAGTGAGACTCTGTCTCCAAAAAACAACAACAAAAAAAGGAAGTAAGATTATTGGGCAAGCTGCTGCCTCCAAAACTGGGGAGAAATAGGTGGACATAGAGAATCACCACTTTCTGAGCAGAAACTGCCACAGGAGCC